CTTTTGAACAGTGGCTGCTTTGTTTCCCCGATGTATAACTGGTCGCAGTCCTCCTGGCACTTAACAGCATATACAACATTGCTCTGTTTGTGCTCTGTATATTTTTAATAAAGCTTTTATTTTGACCTCAGAGTCTCCTTAAGCTTACTTGGAGTTGAACTAAACAATGAGCTAGCTGAGACATTCCAACTTAAAGTCTAAGAGTTATCTGATCGAACAAGATCTGTTTTTAGAATATTTGCCATCAGTCAGCTGTGTCTGTTATCCAGTCATGTCCTGAACACATTTGAATGAAGCTCAGCTACAGACTAACTTCTGAATCAACTRGTTTTAAGGTGTAGCTAGCTCCTACATTGTCTATTACACCAGAACCCTACATCAGCTGTTTCACACAAACAAAAGATTCAGGACATTTAGAATTATTGTAGTATGTTGTATATTTTTTATTTCTTAGGGATAGTTACAAACATTTTGTGTATAGTTAGATACGTTATGGCACAGTTGTTTGATCATATTTTATTGTTTCTTACGAAGGAGACAGAAAAGACATTTTAGTTCTCCAACATGTCCTGTGCATACAGTGAGCTGACAATAAAATCATATGAATCCTTTTGAAAGATGGACACCACAGTCAACAAACTTAGAAAAAAAACTCACAAATGGCTGCAACACAGGAGGTTTTACAGATGAGCTAAAATTCAAAGTTAGTTGAGAATAATTCACAGTCTCACAATGCTGCATGTGATCATTTAGGTTTGACCAACACAAAAACATCATGTCCCAACATAACATGATCTTAGTCTAAACCTCTGACTTATAGGTGATGGATCATAGGCATTCCTTCAAAGAATGTGAAGTCTTGAACTAATGTGACAGGCATTTTCACAATAAAAGCAGAGTCTTAGTGCTATAGTTTCTACAAACCTTGCAGGTCAGCTGAGAGGATTTCACCTGCTGAAACGAAAAAATAYTGTATTTTTGTCTCAGAAGCATTTTTTTTTAAACCTCTGCATTCCTCTCTTTGTCTTGTCCAGGTAGAGTGGGCTCAGCCAAGACAAGCAGAACCTGGGTCTGGGTCTGCCAGGAGCTGCTCTGCTGGCAGAGGAGGACGAGAGGAAGGAGAACCACCCAGAGYTGAACTTCAGGTTTCTCCATCTTGAGCAGAAAGAGCTGTGGTGAATGGTTTCAAAGAATCAGCTTTGATTCAAGTCAAATTTGTTTAGAAGCACATTTCTGTATGTTATCCAGTTCAAGTACAGTAACTAAGTATTTGTCACTTTACAACTCTGCATTTCTTGCTCAAAAACCCAATGATAAGATATTTGCTCATCATATTTTCACATAATCCAACAAACCAACTTTTCAACTAACATCAAAGCTGCTTGTTTGATGTGACTGGTCTATATAAGATCCAAAAACAAATGAGAGAATGAAATACCATAAGGCAGTTCAGTAATAAAATGCAGGTTAAACAGTAGGTGACAGACAGGAATGAGAAGGTGTTGAGTGTTGGTGAAGTCAGGCTGTTTTATTCATTGTGTGCACAGAGAAACATCATTATTTAACTCTGTAAAGCTGGACCAAGTTATTCTTATGGGTTCTGTGGAGATTTTTGTATCAAAAAAATGTCACATTTATTGATTTTTAAATTTATTTATTAAAAATGGTTGCAAATTTGAAGATAATTCTTCCACTTACTTCACATTGTATTTAGAATTCAAAAAGTATTTCTGTGTAACGAAAACCTAAAAAAGTTTTGCAGAGTGAAATGTTTCATGAAATCATTGTTATAATCTGATGAAGTTGTGATCAAACGGCACAGAAAATGGATGCAGTGGTTTTAAACTGGTCTGGTTCTGGGACAACAACAATCTGTTGACAAGTTATGGCCCGAATTGAGGAAAATTTTTGATTTAACAAACTAATTGAATGAAAAGAGCAGTCTGAACCTGAGACTATTGCCAGCTTTTACGCAGGAACAGACCCAGGGTGCAGGCAGGCTCAAAAAATGGAACAAATGTTTATTAATAAACAATAAAGTGCTGAAAAGCAGCAAAAACTTACAGGCTCTCTGGCAGGGGATCAAGACACAGAGCACAGGACATAAGCACAATGAACCGACAATAAGACTGAGACAGGACAGGGCTTAAATACACTGAAAACTAATGAATCAACAGAAAACACCTGGGGAGAAACATGAGGGTGATCATCAAGGTGATGCGGGGCAGCTGGGCTGAGACACACACAGGGGAACATAGAAACACTAGGAAAGCCAAGGTGAAAAAAGACAAAGCATGACAGTACCTCCCCCTTAATGATCGTCTGACGATCAACAAGGAGAGGCACGGAACAAGGGGAGACGGGACAAAACAAACTCAAGGACATAACATGGAAGTCCATGGGAATGGTCAAAAAAAAAACATCCCACACAGGGCAAGTTCAGGGGGACGACCAGGAAAACCACCCCAACGAGGCAGGAGGTCAGAAAAGTGGCCAGGAAACCACCCATGGCAAGACCTCACAGGAGCAGACGTGGAGCCACGGGAGGAAGTGGGAGAAGATGAGGAGCTGTCGGAGGTTGATGGAGCAGGAGCCTTGGTGACGGCAAACACAGGCAACAGAGGGGACGAAGAGGCGAAGACTGACGACCCAGGCGACGGCAGCCGACCCAGGCGACATGGAGGCGACGGCAGCCGACCCAGACGAAGAGGAGGCGATGGGCGACAACCCAGGTGATGAGGAGGCGACGAGGAGGCGATGACCCAGGCGACAAGGAGGCGACGAGGAGGCGATGACCCAGGCGACGAGGAGGCGATGGGCGATGACCCAGGCGACGAGGAGGCGATGGGCGATGACCCAGGCGACGAGGAGGCGATGGGCGATGACCCAGGCGACGAGGAGGCAATGGGGGATGTGGAGGCAACAGCAACCGACACAGAAGATGTGGAGAGGCCTGCAACTGACCCACGAACCTCAAGGACCGCAGACTCTGGGACCATAACCGGAACCACCACCTCCGGGACCACCACTGGAATCACACAATTGTGGAACCACCACCTCTTGGACCACCTCTGGATTCACCACCTCTGGGACCACCTCTGGAACCACCAACTCAGGGGCCACCGACTGTGGAACTGGGACCACCAACTCAGGAACCGACTCAGAAGGCCCAGCAGACTCAGGAGGCCCAGCAGATTCAAACGTGGAAACAGCCGGTTAAGCATTGGAATCCCAGAAGAAAAACAGGGGAGGGAAGGGGGGCAAAAAAAACCACTTCTCTCGGAGGGGAAGTCCTCCAGAGAAGGGCAGACAGTTTAGCCAGTCCTTCCTGCATCTGCTGCATCTTATCTAGCATGGTTGCAGGGTCCAACTTAAATTTTGTGGCTGGTGGAGCAGAAACATCCACCTCATTGAGAGGCAGACCAGAAAAAGTTTGCCTGCAGGCTGGGTATCTTGGTCGGTTCATTATGTCAGCTTTTATGCAGGAACAGACCCAGGGCGCAGGCATGCTCAAAAAAATGGAATAAAGGTTTATTAATAAACAAAAGAGTGCTGAAAATCAGCAGAAACTTACAGGCTCGCTGGCAGGGGCTCAAGACACAGAGCACAGGACATAAGCACAATGAACCGACAATCAGACTGAGACAGGACAGGGCTTAAATACACTGAAAACTAATGAATCAACAGAAAACACCTGGAGAGAAACACGAGGGTGATCATCAAGGTGATGCGGGGTAGCAGGGCTGAGACACACAGGGGAACATCGAAACACTAGGAAAGCCAAGGTGAAAAATGACAAACCATGACACTATAAAAAATAAAGTTTAACAACAAACTAAAACAAACAGCAAGTGGCCATATTGGACAAGGAAATTATTACCTTTTACTAAGTTAGAGAATCTTTATTAAAACCAAAACRCTCCAATTTGTTACCTTTACTTTAACAATTTAAATGATTTTATAAAGAAACATGAAATCAAAAAGTCCAACTCCTTAGAAGAGATTTGAAATTAAGTAGCTTTAGCTGAGAACAAAGTCTTATTAAAATTGTTCTAACATTAAACATAAAGCTGACGTAACAATCAGAATGTTTAGTTTTATCTTCACAGTTTTTTGGCCCACGACCCAGCTATTGAAAACCACTGGTCCACATTATGAAATGTCAAGTTGGATCCTGTAATGTTGCTACATTACCACCAGGTGTCAGCATAATGCTGAGGATTGTTGTTTTTAAAAATCATTTTCTCATTTGTTCTGCCAGGATTAGTGTAACTTTGTCACACAAAACTCAGTTTAGTTTTTTGTTCTTTCCCGTTTAGTTTTATTGTGGCACAGAGTATTTTAATGAAAATGTAAACACAGATTTAAAGACAGTGTCTGATGATGTGTTTACTTCCTGATGTTGTTTTAGTTAGCAGTCAGTTTAAATCTAAAACTATGAAAATGAACTGTTGAAACCTGGACCTCTACCAGTACTTCCAGCTGAAGCAGCAGTGTGTGTACCTGAGCTGTGTGACAGAAGACGAGGGCTCTCCTGCTGTGGTTATGTGCAAATGAAACAGCCGACGTAAGCCCAGATCCTCTGGAGGATAACCAGGAAGGCCAGCAGGTAGAAGAACAATGTGACGGCCTGCAGAGAGGACAAAATGAGATCCAGGGGTAAATCAACAACAAACAAGAATGGTGCTAAAACGGAGAGGATGGATGGATGTGAKGGAAATTTTGTAACTGATTAACTGAATATTAGATGCAGTATTGTATTTTATACAACCCCTGGCAAAAAGWATGGAATCACCAGTCTTGGATGAGCACTCATTCAGACATTTCATTCTGTAAAACAAACTCGGATCAAAAACATGATACAATAATAAGGTCATTCCAAAGTGCAACTTGTTGGCTTTCAGGAACACTCAAAGAAATGAAGAGAAAACATTGTGGAAGTCAGTGAATGCTACTTTTATTGACGAGGCACAGGGAAAAGAAATATGGAATCACTCAATTCTGAGGAAAAAAGTATGGAATCACTCAAATTGGAGGTAGAAAATAAGGACACACCCAGTCAATTTCCTTTCCCTAAATGGACACCTGCCTCAGATTAGATCTTCTTGTTAGTCTGCAGTTGAAAACACCTGCAGTCATGAGGGCGGGTCGTCCGGTCGAACGGAGGAAGGGAAGGCTGTATTCAACCAGGAAGAAGGGTGGAGCTGAACTTTGGTGATAAATGCGACTTAAATCGGAAAATGACAACGTTGGATTTAGAAAGAAGTGACTGTAACAGTATGGATTGTAGTGACGAGGAAGGAAGGAGTGGACAGAATGAAGATAAAGAGTGGGAATTGGTGGGAAAGGGTGGAAAGAAGCAGCGACCTGCTGAAAGGAAGAGGAAAAAAGGAAATGAGGAAAGCACTGAAGATACCGATAATGAAGGAATTGAGGAAGGGAAAGAAGCAGCAAAAAGACAAAACCTGATCATTATAATAAGATTTGATGAAGGAGAAGGAGTCAAGAAGATTGATCACTTAAACTAACAAAAGCACTTAAAGCACATATTGGGGAAATTAAACATGCTAAGATACTGAGAGACGGAAATCTTTTGATTGGTTGTAATTCGGAAGGGCAAGTTGAAAAGGCGAAAAAGCTTGGATACGGAGGTAAATTTGTCTTTTTAATAGTCAATCAAACAAATAGAGCAGTTGTTAAAGTGGGTGAAAAAAGAAATAATGAAAGCAAAGGAATCATCACAGGAGTGCCGTTGAGTGTTAACATGAAGGACTTGGTTGAGAATTTGAAAGAAAGAAAAAAGGAAATAAAAGGAGCACGGAGAATGACAAGGGGTACAGAAAAGATTGAAACAGAAACTGTGATGTTGGAATTTGAAACAAAAGAAATAC